CGCAGCGTTGAGCGCTTCGCGAGGCCGCGGCCCCTTGGCCGCTGTGCTCGGCTCGCGTCCCACGTCGGCTCCCGTTCCCTAGGCCAGCCTTTCACGGCCGTGCCGAGCGCGCCTGGGGCTGGGCCCTGAGGAGCTCGCTCGCTAGCGAAGGAGCCGAGGGGCAGGTCGGTGTCTAAACCTACCCAGGAGGCGACGTTGGAAGAGGCCCGAGTGGAGGGCAGAGGGTGCGGCGGAGCGCAGGTCCGGAGCGGGGAGCGAGCGAACGAAGGAGGGGGAAGGTCCGTGTGGCTAAGAAACGGCAGGAGCGAGGGGGAGAGGGTCTCAGGCGCACACCAAGACCTTAGGGTATTTTAGCGCAGAGAGCTGCTCAGAGGGCAGCTGTAGGCCGAGCCTCGGGGCTCCATCTTTTTATTGAAGTTTTTAGTGATAATTGTAGATTCACATGCAGCTGTAAGAAATAATACAGCAAGATCCTTATACACTTGCCCAGTTTCCCGCATTGGTGACATTTGTAAAACTAATAATACAGTATTGCAACCAGAACACTGGCGTGGACAGTCCCCAGGCCATCCTCTGATTTCCCCAGCTTTTCTTGTACTTGTCTCGTGTGTGTGTTTAGTTCTCTAGTTTTATCACGTGCACAGGTTTTAGCCACCACTGGCGTCAAAATACAGAAAGTTTTCATCATAAGGATCCCTCCCTCCCGCACATGTAACCTTTTGCAAAATTAGAGTACAATACCGCCCTCGGTATGGACACTGGTACAGCCCAGCAGCGGAGATCTTGCTGTGCTCCAGTGCCTGTGGTTCTGCTGTTCTGTCCTTTGATGCAGGGACCTTGCATGTCAGCTGCTTGAATGAGACGCCACTCATCCCCAGCAGGACCTCAGAACGCCCCATGACTAACTCCGCGCAGGAACAGCGCCCTCCTGCTGGTGGGCTGTTCTCTTACTACCTCTCTGTCCACAGTGGCCTTTTGTCAGCACTTGGGAACTTGCTGGCCCAGATGATTAAGAAGCGGAAAAAAGAAAACTGCTCTCAAAGGCTAGATGTCAGTGGGCCCCTCAGATATGCCATTTACGGGTGAGTTCCACAACTGGGCTGGCTCACCCAGCAGCAGACTTAAGTGCAGCAAAGCTACGGTATCAAGTTCCTGGAACGATCTAATTTGGAAAAATAACTTTAAAAAGCATTTAAGTAATCATGGGGGGAAGTCTGAACAGCAGTCACGTTAATGTCATTTTCTAGTTCTATTCATTTATTTTGAATTTCATGGGTGGGAGTGGCCTCTTCTCTGTGCTGAGAGAATGAAGAGCAGATAACTCACCTGAACCTAAAGCCCGACTTCAAGACTCAGAGACCCTGAAAGTGGAAGACAGACTCAAATATGGCCAGTTAGTTTCGTAGCGTAAACACCCAGAAAAAGAGTTAAGTGTCCTGAGAAATGTCCAGTTTCTGAACCACTTATTAAACTGCAAAAGCACAGAAATTCATGAGTTTTCCAATTAAATCCATCGAGTTCTCTGGCCAACAACAGTGTTTGTATAGATGGATTATTTTGAAGTCTTTTGCAACAAGTGATTTTTTTAAATTCAAAATTCACAAATACCAATTTTGTAAGTATTGTTAACTTTATTCATCACAGCCTTTTTTTCCATAATGTATTTAAAGCCATAATTCTGTCCCACCCCAGAGAGGGGAGTGTATCAGAATCACCTGGAGGCTTTCCAACCAGTTTCCCATCCTCCAGACTTCTCCCGCTGAGAATCCCTGCTTTAGGCCACTGGTTCTTAGGGTGGGAATGGACAACTGAGGACCACTTGTTTAAAGACTTTCAGTGTCAGAAGTTGGAAGATCCCTGGGTCCTGGCCCATCTTTTTATTGCTGAATGTTACGGAGCTGCAGGTCTGTAGATGCTGTAGCTGGGCCCAGTTCTCTGCACACTTTGGGTTGAATAGCAGCGATGCAGGTTTCATCCTGGCTTCGTGCGGGAGAGGGTCACCTTCTAGGACAACGATATAACTAAACAGATGAGATCATGACATGTAGTGATAAATGCTATGACGAAGACCAAGAGGGGCCTGGAATAGAGTGGCGGAAACCGCAGTGGGCTTGTTACCTAGAACAATTAGAAAAGAACTGTCCAAGCCAACAGTGTTGAGAAGGAGCCGGCCACGTGAAGATGGTGGGGATCCAAGGCAGGACCAAGTCTGGTCTGTCAGGCAAGAGGAATGCTTGACACCGGTTCAAAGCAAGCACACTTTGTAGAAGGACCACAGGTCTGTGGTCAGTGCTGAGGGAGCCAGGGTCTGGGGCTTGGCGTTTGGGGGTGATCCTAGACCCGAGAAAGGCAGTCCAGCTCACCCACCGTGGGCCTCAGGTTCTTCACAGGGCCGCTGAGTCACTTCTTCTACCTCCTCATGGAGTACTGGATCCCTCCTGAGGTCCCCTGGGCAGGGGTCAAGAGGCTGCTCCTGGACCGCCTCCTCTTTGCGCCGGCCTTCCTGTTGTTGTTCCTCATCGGCATGAGCTTCCTGGAGGTTGGTCTCTGCTGCAGCACTGCCCTGGCTCCTCATTGGGTAAAGGGGTTCTTACCCTGGCATCAAGGGGTGGAATGCAGGGTCTGCGAACTTTTTGCAAAACTCAAATTTAAGGTTCAGTTTCCTTGATGGAAGCCAAGCAGTCGTATTAGTGGTGCCTGGGTCCACAGTGGAAATTATGTAACCTACTGTCCCTGAATATCATTTTTGCTCCACTCCTGGCACCTGCTGCTGGTCTTGTCACTGAATGAAGCACATAGACTAGCCTATCATAAAACTTCTGAGTACTTGGACAGCTGTACTCACTGTAATTGTTTCCTCTGGGGTCTTGTATATTTTATACATTGTAAAACATGGTTCTGAAAAGAGGGTCCACACACTTCACCAGATTGCTGATGGGGCCTATGCCCAGGAGTTTCAGACCCCAATGACGTTGCAGAAACCTGAGCTAACTCAGTGCCTGGACATCCTGAGTGCTCTGAAGAGGCTCACTTACCAGCACAGACTTCATGTCACAGCCTACTGCATGAGAGGTCTGCTCTAATGTGCCCAGCGCAAGGCCCTTTTCCCAGTTCACCAGCCCCTTCAGCCCCTCACCACCTGCTTTCTGTCCACCCACTATGTGCCCCAAACAAGTGATGTTCTGCCTCAATATTAGTTTAAACCAATCACACCAGGTAAAAGCTTCTCAGGTTTTATTTTGAAACCACCTCTCCAGTTTTTGTTAGTAAGCAGAATACACCTTGTTGTGTAAAGTGACCCTGGGGATAAGTAGGACAGGTGTTCAGACTTATCTGTGATTGCTAATAAGTCCCTGATAATAAACAGAAGTGTTTGGGGAGTCCTTAGGAAATCTGAGCCAAGAGGAAGCAAAGGGCCCGCATTAGAAGTGAAGGTACCATGGCTGTTTCTCTTTTTACTTCCAAATATGGAGTATATTTTCATTAAAAAGTAAAAACCTGTACATATATGTCAAGTGTTACCAAAGTACAGAACACGTGAATGATATGTGGAAACTGCACTAGACCACACACACACAAGCAGTCACACATCAGCTGCTGCGGCAGCCAGCATTTGTGATCAGACATCACGTCATAGGATTCCACCACACACCTGTCCCCTTTGGAGAGGATTCCTGTTAGGTCAGCTCCTAGAGCTGTTGTCTGAAAAGGTCATCCCCAGTTGTCCTCCCTGCAGTGATGCAGGACGGCACCAGCTGACATTTATTGAGCACTTGCTTCGTCCCAACCTCTGCCTCCTGCGCTTCATGTCATTTTGGCCTCACTTCTATCCCCCAATGCCATCAGGTCAGCTCTGTACCAGGGGTGTGGACATCTCGCCCAGTGTGAGGAGTGCTCAGTTCTGGTGATTGCCCAGCTGGACGGTGAGCTCCTTACAGCTGCACTGCTCATTACGCACACGTGTGCTCCATGTTTAACCAGAACAAAGTCTGCTGTCTAAAACCCCCACTGTGTTAGGGTTTGGGGGTCTCCAGGTCCTGGTGCCCCAATCTCAGCCCAAGGGCAGTGGGGCTCGCTCACTGTATTTCCCTCCTTTCCAGGGTGGAGACGCAGCCGCCAGTGCCGCCAAGGTGAGGACTGCATTCTGGCCAGCACTGCAGATGAACTGGCGCGTCTGGACCCCAGTGCAGTTCATTAACATCAACTACGTCCCCTTGCAGGTGAGGCCACCTGCATGGCGCAGGGCCACAGGGCCACAGGGTGTCAGCTCCACCAAAGGCGGGTTCCCATCAGCCACCTTTTCCCTTGCAACAATCTTTGTTTTCTTTGAGGTGATTGTTACTGGAGAGGGCAGAGGGTTGGTTGGGGCCAGACCGAAGGTGGGTAAAAGCTTATAAACTTGAGAACGGGAGGGAGCAGACTGGAGATGGGAGCCATAGAGGCCAAAGACCCACACGTGCATGGGCCTGGGGCTCTGGGAGGTGAGAGGCAGGGAGAGTCCAGGTTTTTCCAAGAGCGAAACTGGGGAACAAGAAGGTAAGGAAACTAGGACTATGGCCATAGACTCTAAGGTATACAGAGAAGGAAATGAAGACGTGAGAAGACAGGATGGCTGGAAAATTGAATCTCTGCAAGTAGTGCGGACAGAATGCTGTGTGGCTGGAGTTTCCATTTTAGATGGTTGCCGGTGATGCTTAAGGGGCAGTGGTTCATTCAACAAATGTTTATTGAGCAGTGTATGTCCCAGTGCTCTAGACTTGGGATAGTGATTAATGAAATAGACCAGGCTGCTTCTTCCATGGAGCTTATCTGTGGGGTGAGCTCATTGACTGGAGGTGATTTCAGGTGGGGGTTTGCCTGTCAGATCATTGTATCGGGGCAGTGGGACAGAGCTGAGAGTGATGAGGCCATGCAGGCGTCAAGACTGGGTGAAGCCATCGCGTGATGGCTGGGTCTGGGGCAAGAGGCTGGGTCAGGACCTGACACTGAAGTGCTCCTGAGGAGGGCAGTTGTTCCCGAGGAGGGGAAGGGGCAGTTGCTTTTCCCTGCTGGCCTGTCCTCGCCCTTGTCCCTCAGCTGGGGGCTGGGCACAGTGCTGTCAATACAGCAGGGCCAGCTGGACCCACCAGCGGAGGAGCTCTGCCCTAGGGGACTGGTGTCTGGTAAGTGTTGCCAGGGCCTTGCACTTACTTCGGCCTGTGTTCTCTGGCAGTTCCGGGTGCTTTTTGCTAACCTGGTGGCTCTGTTCTGGTATGCCTACCTGGCCTCCCTGGGGAAGTGAGGATGACCTGGAGACAATGTCACGCACACTGCCAAGCTGCATCTAGGTGGAGTGCTCCCCTGCCCAGGGTGAGAGCAGAAACAGCCCAGTCAGGACTAATCAGACTACAGATCATGTGACTCAACATGCCCTAAAATGATGGAGAAACAGCTCTCTCTTAAAAATACAGTAAAGATGATTTCACTTGTCACCTTGGACTGAATTAGGATCATAATAAACTATAATGTACCCTTTTCAGGGGTGATTTTAACGTATCTGAATGACTGTGACTGGGGGGGGGCTGCCCTCACATCTTTTACTTTAAAAAAAAAAAATCATGGTAAAACATACACTACTACTGCTTAGCTACCAGGCGCCACAGGAAAAGGCCCTCTAGACCAGGACTTGACTCTGATGTTCTGAGAGGCTATATAAATATATGCCAACCTTCAGCTGATTTTGTGCTTTGCTGCTGCTCACTTACAATAACCCTCCCCACTCTTGGAACATTCCTTCCTGATAGTATCCCAACCTAGTGTCATAGATACACCATCCCTTGGGAATCTTAACCATATGTATTTTTAAATTTTCTTCTGTCCCATGTGCTGTTTCTTTTAAATCAGGATCTCCTCAAATGTCTGTTGATCCTTGACAGTGCATCAGTGTTTGAGTCAAAGCCACTCAGGAATTCTTTGGAAGCTCAGTGTGAATGGGCCGCACTTGTCAAACAGCACTTTGTGGGCTCACCGAGCAAGGATCTGGTTTTGTGGAGAATCACCTGTTCTTAATAACTCAGGCCTTTCCTTTTGGGCTGGTCAGATTCCTCAGAGAGGAATCCTTTTATTTCTCACCTGGGGGAAGGATGGCGTTTGTAGTGGAGCAGGGTATAAGCCTAGTGGCCAACATTCTTGTGGCTAACTGGAGGAAAGGGGTTACAGATCCTAGTATTAGTATGTGACCTTCATATAACCTCACTGTTATTACTGCATCCCAGTCTCAACTGTCTGGTGTCTCAAATCCAGTCCTTCTGGTTCGAATCCTCTGGAATGCAATCTCTCTAGTCTTCTGCCATGATGGAGGTGAAGTACTCACCTGAATGTACAGGTGGTGGAAGGGATGCAGAGGGCAACCCTCCTGTTCAGCCCACCCACTATCCTTCCTCAGAGGTGGGGCTGATGCCTGTACCTGCCCAGACCTTTCTAGACTCACTGGACTAAGTGAGCTTGCTTCTTGGCTTCCCTCAGTACAGGCAACTCAAGAGAGATTTGCACACCCACGTCCACAGCAGCATCGGTCACAGCAGCCGAGAGGTGGAAACCCGTGTCCATGGACGGATGGAAAGATACACAAGACGTGGGCTCTCCACATAGTGGAATCTTACTCGGTCTTAAAAAAGAACTCGGACTCCTGCTGCAACACGGATGAACCTCGAGGACACTATACGGAGTGAAATAAGCTGGTCCCGAAGAACAAACAGTACACGGTCCCACTTGTACTCGGTCCCTGGAGACAACCGCATAGGCACAGAGTAGATGGTGGGAGCGGGGCCGGGAGGGGGGAAATGGGGAGAGCTTGGCGGGGGCCGGGAAATGGGGAGAGCTTAACGGGGACGGCGAGGGCCGGGGGAGATGAGCTGGGATGGAGGTGGTGACGGCCGCACCGCGGGAACGTGCTTAACGCCCCGAGCTGCAGCTGCACGTGGCGGAGCCAGCGGCCCTCACGTGCGCATCTTACTACCCCGCGGAGGCCCCACAGTCACTAAGCGGAACCCCAAGTT